ATCACAGTATTGATCCGATCACAGCACTGATCCGATCACAGCATTGATCCGATCACAGTACTGATCCGATCACAGTACTGATCCGATCACAGTACTGATCCGATCACAGCATTGATCCGATCGCAGTATTGATCCGATCACAGTACTGATACGGTCCACGATTCGATCCGATCACAGTACTGATCCGATCACAGTATTGATCTGATCACAGTATTGATCCGATCACAGTACTGATCCGATCACAGTACTGATACGGTCCACGTCGATCCAATCACAGTACTGATACGGTCCACGATTCGATCCGATCACAGTACTGATACGGTCCACGATTCGATCCGATCACAGTATTGATCCGATCACAGTATTGATCCGATCACAGTATTGATCAGATCACAGTACTGATACGGTCAACGTTGATCCGATCACAGTATTGATACGGTCCACGTCGATCTGATCACAGTATTGATACGGTCCACATCGATCCAATCACAGTATTGATACGGTCAACGTCGATCCGATCATAGTACTGATACGGTCCACGTCAATCTGAACACAGTATTGATACGGTCCACGTCGATCCGATCACAGTATTGATACGGTCAACGTCGATCCGATCACAGTATTGATACGGTCCACGTTGATCCGATCACAGTACTGATACGGTCCGACACCACCAAAACGTTGCTAAAGATTCTCAGTCGTCAGGACATGAGAAATAAAATAAATAAAAAACAAAGCAACTGGTTCTGCAGCTGAAATATTAAAAAGACTGAAAGCAAACGTATTTGTCCTGTTCAGACTGTCATTATTTGTATTTTTTGATCATGGCAGCATTTATCATCTAAATTACAATAACCATTTATGAGGAATAATTTAAATGTTTTTAGTACCGAGAGTTTTATGCTGTGATTTTACAGTAATTCAGGCCAATTTAACCTCCTAAAACTATTTTAATGTTTCTATAAAACAAAAATTTACATATTAATGTTAACATTTGATCCTTTTTGATTGGTCCAGTTGCAGCAGCACCGGGGCCAAACTGCCTTAAAGCAATGAAGCAGACAGGAAGAGAAACAGGTCACAAACAGTTTGCAAGAAACACAGGATGTGGACAGAACTGGCACCAACAGACGGCCCCAAAGGACGGGAGCTGGTCCTCTGCAGGCGGCTGATGTTTAATGTCCATCACAGGGACACCTGGACATGTCTCAGTCCATCACAGGGACA